ACTTGAGAAAGCTATTTTCTACTTTGTTTCGAAATGAGAATCCAACTTTCTTTCAATGTAAAGTATGTCAGCTGTCTAAACATATTCGAAATTCATTTCCCAATTCAGTTTACAAACCCACAAAATATTTTTTATTAATTCATAGTGATGTATGGGGTCCCTCTCGGGTCACTAATATTATCGAGATAAAATGGTTTGTATTTTTGGTTGATGATCACACTAGAATTACCTAGATTTTTCTCATGAAAGAAAAATCTAAAGTTGGCCAAATTTTTAAAAAATTTCACATTATGATTCAAAATCAATTTCACACCAACATCCAAATAGTGAGGTCAGATAATGGGTGTAAATATTTTGAAACCGTTATGAACCAATATTTTTCTGACCACGGCATTATCTATCAAAGTTCCTGTGTCAATATTCCACAACAAAATGGTATAGCTGAACGAAAAAATATACACATTCTTGAAGTAGCCCGATCAATTATATTCACTACCCACATTCTAAAATTTCTTTAGGGAGAGGCTGTTCTCACCGTTGCGTACTTGAACTCTCTCATTTTGAATACTTTATAAGTGTAAATACTTTAAAACTACTTTGAACCAATAATTTTCTTACCACGGCATTATCTATCAAAGTTCTTGTGTTAATATTCCACAATAGAATAGCATAGCTGAACGAAAAAATATACATATTCTTGAAGTAACCCGATCAATCATGTTCACTACCCACATTTCAAAATTTTTTTGGGGAGAGGCTGTTCTCACCGTTGCATACTGGATAAACCGTATGCCCTCCCGAACTCTCTCATTTTGAACACCCTATGATATTCTCTTCAGGGTCTTTCCACAATCTCATATTCTTCATACTCTTTTCTATAAAGTTTTTGATTGTTCCGCTTATGTTCATGTTCATACTCACCTCAGGGGTAAACTTGACCCACAGGCGATTAAATATGTTTTTCTTGGATATTCACCAAGTCAAAAAGGATACAAATATTTTGTCTCAAGATTCATCGTTTCTAGAACACTATAGATGTCACTTTCTTTGAAAATCAATCCTTCTATCCCACTATTGATATTTAGGGGGAGAGTCCTAATCAGGAATATCAAGTATAGGATATAAGTATACCAGCTCTCACTTTTTCTCCCCTCACTATTCCCGAGTCCTCATCAAATTTTCTTGAAACCAGTATCAAAGAGTTTGAACCTGAACTTATATCTACTATTATCAACAAAGAGTTAAGTATCTATATTAGGAGACACAAAACTCCAGCTAATAAAGATTCTGAACCAACTACACATTGCTATGAATCTATTCCAGTTTCAAGCAATAAGAACACATCAGGTAATGAGCTTTCAGACACAATTTCTGATATGGTTACTACTATTGATCATGATACTGAGTTACCTATTGTTTTGCGGAAAGGAACTCGATCTTGTACTAAACACTCTATATAAGATTATATTTCATTCAGCAACTTATCTTCAAAGTATCATGCATATGTAAGCAAACTTGATGGCAACCCCACTGAACCTAAAACCATTCATGAAGCCCTTGCATTGTCAATGTGGAGAAGTGTTATTCAAGAAGAGATTAGGGCCCTTAAAAAGAACAAGACTTGGGAATTGATAGAACTTTAACCGGAAAAACATAAAGTTTGGTGCAAATGGGTATTTACTATAAAATACAATCCTAATGGAAGTGTGAATCGGTACAAAACTCGTCTAGTAGCTAAAGGCTTCACTTAGTCCTACGGGATAGACTATCAGGAGACATTCGCTCCAGTGGCTAAGTACAACACTATCTAGATATTACTCTCTTTTGCCTCTGATCTTGATTGGCCTCTCTGTCAACTTGATGTAAAGAATACATTTCTCAATGGAGATTTAGAAAAAGAAGTATATATGGAAGTTTCTCCAGGCCTTGAGACCACATATGAAACTCACAAGGTATGCAAACTCAAAAAGGCACTCTATGGTCTAAAACAATATCCGAGAGATTGGTTTGACAGATTCACCAAAGCAGTTAAACATATGGGCCATGAGTAATGTCAGTCTAATCATACTTTGTTTGTCAAGAATAGTGCCTCTGGTAAGAAAGCTATCCTAATTGTTTATGTTGATGATATTATTTTAACAGGTAATAACATAGAGGAAATTCAAAAACTCAAAAGTTTTCTTACCATAGAGTTTAAGATAAAAGATCTTGGAGCACTCAAGTATTTTTTGGGAATGGAATTTGCTCATTCTAAAAAGGGGATATCTATGTCACAAAGGAATATGTTCTTGACCTGCTAAAAGAAACAGGGATGCTTGGGTATAAACTAGCAGAAACTCCCATGGAAACGACTACAAAAGTTGAATTTACAAAAGGCAAGCTAGTTGATAAAGAAAGATATCAGAGACTTGTGGGCAAACTTATATATCTTGCTCATACTAGACCTGACATCAGTTTTGTTGTAAGTACTGTAAGTGAATTCATGAACCAACCTACTGATGTTCATATGAATATGGTATATCGGATCTTAAGATACTTTAAGAAAACTACAGAACAAGAACTATTTTTCCAAAAAATAATGAACAGGAATATTGAAATCTACACAGATGCTGATTGGGCGGGTTCTATAATTGACAGAGATCTCGTCTGGGTACTGTACTTATGTTTGAGGAAACTTAGTCACTTGGCGGAGTAAGAAATAATCTGTTGTGTCACGAAGTAGCACAGAAGCTGAATTTCGGTCACTTGCTCATAGAATATGTGAGGGAATTTGGTTAAAAAGAGTTCTAATGGAAATGAAATTCTTGATTACTACTCCAATGAAAGTATGGTGCACAATAAAGTAACAATCAGCATAGTTAAAAATCCGGTATATCATGATCGAAGTAAACACGTGGAAATAGATAGGCACTTCATCAGGGAGAAGATTGAAGATCAGACCATTACAATACTCTACGTTCCTACTAATCAGCAAACTACAGATATTTTAACAAAAACAATTCTCAAAGGACTCTTCAACGAATTAACATCCAATTTAGACTTACTAAACATTTATGTAACCTAGATTGAGGGGGAGTGTAGAATTATTTTCAGTATTTTCTTTTTTTTTTATGTCTTTTACAACATGGCAATATAACAAAATGGTTACTGCTAGGTTGTGTTGTTTTTCCCTTTCACTAGGGAAGTTTGTTAACTTTTTGTCTTTTTCCTCCTTCCTTTGCCTATAAAATGTTGCTGATTATCGATGTATAAATAGTGAGAAGAAAGAAGAGTTATTTCTTATTCTCAAATTCTTCAGTTACCTTTCCTTTTCCCATCACAGAAATTTTGGAATTATTTCCAAGTTTTACATCATCTCTAAATGATTCGTGCATTTTCGAAAATGCAGATTTGTCTCCACACATGTGGTTACTGCAGCCTGTGTCTAAATACCATAAATTCATGTTCTTTATTTCCTTTCCATGACTAACCATCAACAAGGATATCTCTTCTTGTTCTTCAGCTTCTACAAAATTTGACTTCTCTCCTAGCCCTTTGGATATATTGGTTCGACATTCGGATTTGTAGTGGCCATACCTGTGACATCTATAACATTCAACATTAGATTTATCTGCTGACCTGATTGTATTAGTAGTTGAATAATGGCCTCCTCGACTTCTTCCTCGTCCTCTACTTCTTCCTCTTCTTTGGTATT